GGCAGGGGTAGTGGCGGTACACTCCGGCTTCAAGATGTCCACAAGAAGACCGACCAGCTAGAACAATCAGGGACACGGGTGTTCCAGGGGCATTGGCAAAATACAGTACTCCAATCCGGGCGCCAGGCACACTTCCGCCGTACTCTTTGAAGGGGTCCCCGCGGAATGGACGATGAAGCCTTTCATGTGTGGTATCGGTTTGTGACTGCTGCCAGTCGTCTTTTCATTCGTCGGCCGGTTAGTGAGGCCAATGCGAAGCATAGAAACACGCAGGAGGGGATTACGAGCAGCATGTTTGCATAATCTCAATATTAGTAGCACCTTCGCTGAACGTGAAACGCTTCTTCCGCCCTACAGCAGTGTCTTGTATCATCTCTAGCGAAACGGGGTGAAGGTCTGTAAAACCCTGCCGTTTTTTTGTCAGCAGCAAGTGTGTGGAAGATTTCGGTTGGTGTCATTCACGGATTGCCCTGTGCGCGGCATTTTACCATGGTACCGTACCATGGTAAAATGCCATGTTTTTACTTTTTTTGTTCGTCATTGTAGATGAGACTGCTGTCAACACCATCTCAGGGTGTATTTTTCCGTGAGTCGCTTTTACCGGCCGTCGCAACGCCGTTTGGACGTGCACCGATGGCGCGGAGTAGTTGAACCGGCGAGAGTTTTCGCGTAAACTTCTGCGGAGAAACGCACAAGTCCACACCACCTCCGGGGAGGGTTCCTAATGCACACGCAAACGCTCGCTCGCCATTCCCCCAGGGGGTGCTTTACCCACGAAGCTGGAAACCGAAGTGCTACAAACCTTATGCTGTAGTATTCGGGGCACCGTCGCCCCAGTAAACCATTGCAGCGAGGCGGTATGCTCACGATCCCGGGATCGGGGACCGACCGTCAGTTGCACAGCACATGATGGTGCGTTGAAGAAATGACGAAGGCTAGCCGCCAATCGCGAGCGAGCTGAGAACCGTACAAAAAGTGGTGCCTTGAACAAGTCAACGTGGGGTTCCAAGCATCGAGGTAGCCACCAGAGAAAGTTTGCTCAGCCGGCGACCACATTGAAGAGCAGGCTGAGAATCGCACAAAAAGTGGGACCTGGAACTAGTCAACGTGGGGTTCCAAGCATCGAGGTAGCCACCAGAGAAAGTTTGCTCAGCCGGCGACCACATTGAAGAGCAAGCTGAGAATCGCACAAAAAGTGGGACCTGGAACTAGTCAACGTGGGGTTCCAAGCATCGAGGCAAGCCACCAGAGCAAGCTCGCTCAGCCGGCTACCACATTGAAATCGCTCCGAACGACATTGAACGAGAGTCAATTGCTTCACCACGAACACAGCAACTGCTGTAGTCGTCGCGAAATTGGTGGAAATGAGGGTCTTGTCCAAACTCTCATCAAGGAAAACGCTACAACAGCCACGGGCAGGGATATGACGCCAAAACATTACAAGACCCGAACCACTCGTATGAAGTGGCGTCTCTTGCCGCTTTTCAACCACCACAGCACAAGAAGAGAACAAAAGGCACAAGATACAAAATACCCCGACCGCGTGTTGCCTCTGAATCACCCCCCTCTGGTATGGACCAGCAGATTTAGGACAAAGATGGCAGTTTGAGGGCACGGATGCACCAGGACGAGAACTACATTACCCTACATCGACCGCAATAACGCCTCCCTCGGAAAAGTCGGGGAAAAGATATCCTTTGGAAAGAAAATTTAATACGTGGCTATAAAAAAACAGATAAGGGTACTCTTACTATTTTTTTAAGGTACCATGATGGTTCTCCAATATGTACTCGGTTAGTTATTCTTTCCAAGCCGTGTTGAACTTCATTAGCTATCATCAATCTCTGGGTGTCTCCTGCAGCAGTTTGTCGAGGTCGAATTCCTGTGGCCTCAGGTTGAAAGCTTCCACGTGGTGGTGTGCGTGCGGGGAGTAGAACCGAATCAGGAGTCGTACAAGCCTGTCCACCTCCTGCGATTGCGGCACGGCAATGGACGGGATAGGGGGGATCTTGAGATATATTGCGCTACGGACTTTGCAAACATTTCGTTCGAGAGATAGCCGAACAATGTTCATTCGTATCCCCCTTGCATCTGCCTGAATTTCAAGTCCGCCGCAGAGACGAGTGTGCTACAGCTACACCAGTGGGGGTCCCCGAATAGAGCGCTGGTGGGGCAACAGCCTCACTTATTATTCAATGCGTAGCACAACTTGGCTATTCCATCTAATCCAGCCGCTTTTCACCTGCCTTAGATAAGGCGACAAGGCGACCGCCTTATTCGTAGACCTCCACTGTACGATCCGATATGATATGATATGATATGATATGATATGATATGATATCCGATAGAGGTAAGCAGTGGTCAGTCAGGTCCTCCCGTTCGCAATTGAGAAAACATCACTGCTGTCCCGCAAGCCACATCCACCTACTGGTACCTTTTTGGTGAGGTTCGGCGTGATGTCCGCACGTATCAAGCCGAGTCCTTTGCTGTCAACCAGATCGTTGTACATGGAGATGGTGGCGTAAGGCTGAGCACCTCCCGGGTTAACCTTGTAGTCCTTTCGGATTACCGTAGCCGGAGAGCAGCAGGCGGGATGCGTGTCAAAGTGCCGTTTGAGCCGAAAGAAGAGAGGGGCTTATCACTAGCGGTGCATTGCACAAGCACGGAAATGGTAGGTGAGGTGGACGTGTGCCATTTTGCAACGCAGCTTGCCTGAGGCAACCGTGCTGCCCCTCTAAGAGAATCTTCTTGTCTCGAGTGGTGTCGTGTCGTTGCCATGATGCAGGACGATGGGTATAAAATGACGACACGGTTCTTGACAATGAAGAACGCGGTCTTGTGGACATGATACATACTGCACTACACACACCTCTCCAGTGCGGGAGGGGGGGGGGATAACCTGTTGGAATGCGCATTCAACACCGAAAAAGACGTTTCAGTCGTGAAAACCCGTGATTCTTCGTTTAATGCATGTCAACCATGACACGATATTCCGCGTATTGGTCCGTTGGTGCGGTAAAAAGGCAAGGCATGGCATGACTGAAACCACTCGGTGAAAAGTGTCAGTATAGGCGAACAGAAGTGGTTCTGAACCTGAACCTGTTCCAAAACAGTTCACCCGGCGTTTCGACGTCATGGGGGAAAACACCAAACACAGTAATGGCTCCACAACACTGGTGTGTGGAGCAACAAATGGGCCCTGCGTACCCTAGGTAAACAACACCAGTACAGCTTGGACTTCTTTCGAGTGGGCAAATTTGATTCAGTTGTGCTACGTAACAGGCAACACTACTTGTGCCGCCGCAACGTGAAGCAGCGGATACTTGACACTTGACACGTATATTTAGAACGGGGGTTCGGGAGTTCCAACCAAAGAGCCGTTATCGCTAATCCTTCTGTCTTTCCGTACCGTAATTTACCTCGAGGTAGGTGAGCAAGAAGCACTTGTCTTGGTACTGAGAGAGCATCATGAAGTGTCCCCCATCTCGCCACACCGGAAGCACGAACATCGGGCTGCCGCCACCAAGCGGTGGTGGTGTGGTGGGCAGAGGAGAACCAACGCCAAGGCGCGCCGCACGTGGGACACAGGGGGAGGGACGTTTCTCTTCATCAGAAATGTGGGCAGGGGGGCTGGCCGAACACGAAAAGGAAGTGTAGAAACACGTCGAAAAATCGCGAGACCAACCACGTCCGAGTTTGGCATGGCCCTCGCTGCTCGCGTATTCCTCAGAGCCGATCAGAAGGCCGGGACCAACTCATGCGGTGCTTGGACAGAAAAAATCTTATCAACAACACCCTTGAAGAGAGGCAACTAAAATGGGCCATGTGCTGCGCACTCGTGCACTGACCAGAGCTACAACAAGTCAACGCACAGCCATGATGCTGCTTGTGAGGATGCCGCGGTGTCACAACAGTGCTGAGTCCGCTTAGGTCGGTCACGGCTTGGCTTGGCTGCGGTGGGCTTGATTGGCTAAAACCCTCTCCCTCAGTGAGTGAGCGTGCTACATGTATTCTCTAAGACTCGCTGCTTTGCAAAGAATAGGGCTGCTGCTACAAAGAATAGGACTGCTTTTACAAAGAGTAGGAGCCGGTGACGACACGGGCATAGCAGTCCGGCCTACAGTATTATAGTATAAAAGACGGGGAGACAAAGGAAGTGTGGAAGAAAAAGCCAACAACAAAAGAGACGGGATGAATGCATGCCCGGCCCTCCGCTGGCCGACCGCTACCGTTCTTGTCTACTCCCAGCCTCGAGAGAAAAGGGTATTGTTGCTTTGACACGAAAATTTTCGTCGATCTCTGCTCGGCACCCGATACATGCTCGCCTACATAGAACGAATGCCATGCGCTGCTTTGCTGAACCGACAACCGAGTTGGCTTCGCTTTGGCTTCTTGGCCTCCGCCTGCTAACCCTAACCATAAGCGGCTCACCACTTCTTAGCCTTAGCCTGCAGACCGTCAAGGGAGTCTCCCGGTATGACCGTGCCCAGCGAGTCCTCTCTCTCGTCGTGATAGGCTGTCCAGATGTCCGCTATGCTCTCCTTCTCCTCCTTCGGTCGACGGGTGTTGTATGAAGTATGAGGCAAACATCCCGAGAGCACATGAAAGTCCCTCAGCGAGGGGAAGAAAATCACGAGAGCACATGGAAATCCCTCAGCGAGGGGAAGAAAATCACGAGAGCACATGAAAATCCCTCAGCGAGGGGAAGAACATCACGAGAGCACATGAAAATCCCTCAGCGAGGGAAATAACAGGCATGAGGCCAAGGGCAGGCACATGGCCTCGCCTACCGAGCGCGTTCGAGAATTGAGCTATTCAAGGTGCCGCTGGCCGTCGCGAAGCGTTTGCTGTCCGCGGGCGTGGGGACCGACCCGCCGTCCAACAGAGTAGACTTGCGCCGCTACGCCGACATGAACCATACATAAAGCGGCAAGGCGATGGAGAAGTGGCATCAAGGAACATGGCACGCGGCGGCCCGTCACTGGAGTCTGTTCCATCACGATCACTACTGTGTTTGATGGGGCGATCGTCTCCCAACACTCAAAACTCTTGAGTTGTGAAGCCAAGACTGGAGAGCGATACATTCGAAACTCGCAGCCTCATCAGAGTGCCACAATCGTCGAACCCTCAAGGCCTCCACAACTCGCAAGATCGTTTCGGGCGTCGCCGGCGGGCACACCTTTGCCAGGAGCGGGAGGTTGGTGATGTCTTCGAGCTTGCGAGGGCCCGGGAAGGAGAAGCTCAGCTCTCTTCTCGCCTGCGACACCCGCGCTGCCCTCGCCCCCGTCGCGGCCGCCATGGTCTTCGCCGCAGCGGGCACTACAGAGTGTGGCCTCGCTGCCGCACGAGACCACAGTAGTGTTTTACCTGGTACCAGTACCGAGGAAGATGAGGATCACGCGATTGGACATCGGGTCACTGGGTTACAGTAGACGTGACATGAGTACAACGTGCAGCAGCAGAATGCTTGGAGCAAAGCGCGCTGACTCTATTTAGACTATGTGGGTGTGGTGGGACGAAACAAACTTAGTACTGTAGACTCAACCTGGATCAACTAGAGCGAATGCTCCCCTGGTGATGAGCGCTATCGCATTCTCGTCGGCTCTGCAATTTGTGGTGGTTGCGCAGGGAACCTGTCGTAGCACAGCAGTACATCGTCAAAGAGAGAGGAGAGCGGTGGCCCGCGCATGGTTCGTGCTGCAGAGAGGGAAGGTCGGGCAGCACGTGTGTGTGTACTGCTGTAGCAATGCGGCAGCATCAACAACAACAACGCGAACATCAAGGCTCACCATAGCAAGCGGCACGTCTAACCGCCATGATTGAAGCAGCGTCGTTGATGGCAGACGACGACAGACGGTTGCGCTGGCTGCTGCTGCTGGCTAGGCAGGTAGAGGTGCGCGAAGATGTGACCGACGGAGAAGAGGCACCACCTTATACATTCTGCGCGCCCCCTCCCTCCCGCGGGCTGCTCGGACCTACCACATACATATCTCCTCGATCGGTAATCTCGACCTCCAGTGCTATAAAGGTAAGCGGCTTGTGTCTGCGTGTGTGTTCTCGTGGACAAGAGAGTCGTGGGACTTGTTTAGTCGGTCGGGCGTGCTCACAACTCGTAAAGGGACCAAAGTGTGCACTGCTTTGCGGAACATCGTTGTGTGTCACATCGGCAAATCAAGTCTCACAAAACACGCACCCGCCGAGTGCGCGTCCAAACACAACCGGTTCCTTGTGGCTTTTGGAGTTCTGTGTCTAGTCTGGGCAGATCTCGTAGGCCTGTGTATATAGTCAGCGGCGAGAGGCGTTTCCAGGTACACACGAAAAACTTGCGAGGCATGTAACCCGTCCTTCAACCAGTGTTTTGAATCAACCAAAAAAAAAATGGAGTGTGCCTTTTCACGCAGAGCAGCCTGCGGCGATACGTACACTCGACGTGATGACGTTGATACACGCCACCATCGTATGCATAGGCCTTGTGCGTCGGTGGCGCTTGTAGTCGGCGCTTGACTCCTCGCGGAATGCGGAAGCAAGGGCACTTACGCTTAAAGGGAACGAGAAAGAACGTTAATGTTGGGTTGGCAGGGGGTCTCGTCCGTTGGAATGGCGGCGTGTCTACTACTGCTGTACATGTAGACCTAACACCTATTGTAGAAGTCGTGACACAGCGGTTCAACTCCGAACGGTTAACATGATACACCTTCTTTTCTCTCTTGGATGTTTGGGTCTACTGTTCACAGAGGCTGAGGGTTGACTCCAGGAGCTGCCATTGAGAGGTAGGATGAGTCCTGGGCACAGAAAAATCTCCTGACTTGTCAGTCTCTGCGTGAACTAAACGGAAAGTAAACACCCCGCAACGGCTCCCGAAACAAGAGCGCTGCTTGACTACATACAAGCATGTGCTTGTAGATAGATCTAGCCCTTATATCCCTGACTGACTGCTGTTTCTCTCTCTCTCGCACTGCTTGGTATGTCGAAGGTGTACGCTTTTCTCAACGGAGAAGAGAGGAGGCATCATCGATAGCAAACCAACGGATCACAGCCGGTCTAGGTGCTGTTGATGGCGAATGTTGAAGATGCTGCAGCGGCGGCGGCGGCGGCGGCGGTAGCAGCAGCCGGGTCTACGACCGACACCGACATGGGCAGCTGCGCGCCCCCCTCACCCTCCTCCATAGGGTCCCTCCCTCCCTTCTGCGACAACCCCTCCTACACCTCTGCCGACGCCATGCGGGAGGCGGTCCGCGGGATGGAGTCCGAGCTCGTAGACCTGGTCTTCAGCGGCAGCTCGCGCGCCCCGCCCCGAGAGCTGGAGGACTGGCTCAAGGTGCCGCTGGAGTACGCCACGGCCAGCGGCAACCTGGCCGTCGTGAAGCGCTTGCTGTCCGCGGGCGTGGGGACCGACCCGCCGTCCAACGGTATGCGACTCAGGCTCCTCCTGCACACCGCCGCGGGCAGCGGGAACGCAGGCGTCATCGAGGAGGTCCTCAAGTCCGGGGCAAGCGTGGACGAGGTGGACAAGGACCGGAACGACCGAACGGCGCTCCACGTTGCCGCCATGTCCGGCTGCGACGCGGCCGTACGGGCCATCGCGAGCGACCCCAGGGCGGTCGTCAACGTGGCGGACACGCGCGGGTGGACGCCCCTCCACATCGCGGCCAACGCCGGGTACCGCGGGGTGGTGGTGTTCCTCCTGCTCAAGGGGGCCAAGTCGTGGTTAAAGATCGCCTCGACGGGAGACTCGCCGCTCCACCTGGCGGCGGCCAACAACCACGCCGGGGTGATCGAGGACCTGCTGACCCTCGGCAGGGCTCCCGTGGGATTGTGTAACGGCGCTGGACAGACAGGTGCGGCGAGGCGGCGACGGCAGTGTGAATAGTTTTTTTCTGGATGCATGCAGGGCCTCTTCCAACGCCCTCTGTGACTACTGCTGTACGTAGCGTAGCGTATAGTAGTATCATCAGTCGTCTTCGCTATGATAGGGTTGATACGGAGTTCGCCTGCAGTGCCCATTGGTCTGCTTCCCATCCACCCCAGCGTCGGCACCGAAAGCTTCCAGACTGCTGCTGCTGCTGCTGCTGCTGTTTTTATGCTTGTTTATCCGGCCTTGTTGTGGTGCCGTGCAAGCTGGAAACAAAATACCAACCGAAATAGATGTTGCTGCGTCGCCCGGAACCCCGCACCCTTCCACCTCTTGTCGTACTCCCCACCCCTTTGTATTGTATCGGATTGGTTTGATTTTGCAGCGCTGCACGTTGCGGCTCGCTTGCACCGTCTCGGGGCCTGCATCGCCCTCCTGCGGGGCGGCGCCACGGTAGGCCGCGTCTGCTCCAAGGGCCTGAGCTGCCTCGACACCGCCGCGTGGAACGGCCACTCAGGCCAGCTCCTGCAGATCCTCACGGCGGTCGAGTCTCCGGCCGACCGCAAGCGGCGTTGCAGCCTGGCCCTCTACTACGCCGCCAAGGCCAACAAGACGGACACAATCCGCGACCTCGTGGACCTCGGCGCAGACGTGAACACGACGAGGTCGGGCGGGAACACAAACCTCCACTGCACGGCTACCCGGGGGGCGTACGCGGCCACGCACGCTCTGCTACGGACGGGCGCGAACCTCGAGATCAGGAATAACGAGGGGGGCACGGCTTTGCACCGCGCGTGCAGCTTCTCTCAGTCGGACACGGTGCAGCTTCTCCTGCGGTGGGGCGCGGACGAGACCGCCACCAACTACGACAACTTGACCGCGCACGACCTGGTGGGGCATTCGGTGGAGGAAGAGCTGCTGTCCAACGAGGCCCTCGTGAGCAAGGAGCTGGTCGACACGGCTATCCGCTTGATGCTCGTCAACGCCCCGGCCGACCGCGTCTGGCGCCGCAGAGGCTGGCTGGTGCTCTGTCGCGCCCGGTGGCTGGCCAGGGTAGCCGAGAAGAGGAGGCCGCTCCTGGCGCCCGTTGCTTCGGCATGCGGCGGCGGCGGCGGCGGCAGCAGCGGTGGTGCGGGCGCTGGCACTGCTGGTGGTGCTGGTGCTGGTGCTGGTGCTGGTGCCGCTGTGTCCTCGGGAAAGGGTCCTGCTAACAAGAAGCGCAGAGCAAAGGCGGGAGGAGGAGGGGGGGGGGCGAGAGGAGGCGGAAGCGCAGCGTCGAAGGCGGGCGCCCCTTCTTCGAGCGGCAAGGGCAAGGGGCAGGCTCCTCATTCCCAGAGGGGAGGCAAGAGAGCCGGCGGCGCCCGCACGGAAGGGTCGGCGGCCGCGGGGTTGTCTCCGTCATGTCGGAAGAACTTCTCGAAGGATAAGCTGTGCTACTTGTTCGGCAGGCGCGAGAAAGGCGCCGCTGGGGCGGGAGCGGCGCCTACGGTGGGGCCAACCGTGGTGCAGCCACCCCAGCTGAGGCTAGGACGAGGGAGCCTGCTGAGCGAGGGCGGCCCTGCTGCGGCTGGGAAGGTGGGGGCGCCGGGGGCGGAGGAGAGACCGAGGTTTGTGGTGGCGGTGGAGCGTCTGCTGCTGCTACGAGAGGAGGGTGTTTTTCGCGACATCGTGAGCTTCTTGTAGCGGGCTGGCCGGGATTCCCTCCGGGCACATTCGTTCGCGGTAAGCCTTGGGGGTGGGGTTAGGGTGAGCGTTGGTTTATTGTGTCGAAAAAGTAGCGTGTTGAAAAGGTCGAAGTGGCGGCCGTTGTTGGAGTACTTCGCTGTGAAGTTTGCTCTTTCTCTCTTTTCCATAAGTTATTTGTGGCGAGAAAGGAAGGAACGGAGCGCGTGTGTTCGAGGTGGTGGTAAACGAACGGAGTAAGGAGTAGGGAGTAGGGAGTAGTTTCCGAGCCTGTACCAATTCCATTTTTTCCCCTTGTGTCTTGCTGGCGTGCATCGCCAACATGGCGCATTAGACAAAACCAGGCTGATGTGGAATTGGGCCAGACGATTGGTGGCGAAGTCAAAGCCAAGGCCTCGAAACGAGAGGTGGATGGCATCAACAGCAGTGAACAGCGTTCTCTTTCTGCTCTGTGTACTCTGCTGCTTTGTTTTTTACCACCACGGTGTGTGCATGTATTTTACCAGGGCCTCGCAGAGGCTATAATAGTGCTGACAGACGGGAGGAGTTCAGTGTGCAGTAATACAAGCCAGTGCTGACGAGGCAAGTTGCCATAATCGACCAATGAAATGACTCGAAAAATGCACCCGGGTTTCGAATAAAAATGGGACCCGCAGTTAAGAAAAATTCTGTTTAGAAAAAAAGGCTCAAACATTTACGGAAAACAAGAAAAAATGCCTAAGAAGCATAGCTCAATCTCGGGCACAACATAAGAAACGTCCCAATAAGAAACATGATCGTGCGATGCCCCAAGACAAAAGAAACAAGTGGTAGAAGCTGGGGGGGCGTGTACCAAAGAAACGTCCCAATGCTGCCATGTTCCCTGCTCCCACCTCCTACCTAGCTCATGTCATGTAATTTTTTGGTAGGGGCGGAGAGTGGTTAATTTCGCGGCGTCCCCCGCGCCCCAGCGCCGCCGCGGGTTGCGCAACCCACTGCTGCTGTACTTCTGTACTGGCACAACCCCCAATGTTCGCCACACCGAGCTGTCGGTTTAATGCTGCATGAAGGCTTTTGGTGTGTTGTTTTCTTCGCCATCAGAAATAAGAAATACAGCAGAAATAGGAGAACCAGCAGGATGCGACGGCCCAAAGGAAGAAGAAATCAATTTTCAGAAATTGACCGACTTCGGCGGGTCGTTCCGCCCAGAATAAGAAATTGAGGCTCGACCCGATTTTGACGTTTCTTACCTGCGGGCCTTATCTGCACATTGTAGAAGAAGGTTTTCTTGGACGGGCTCTCGGGTCATACGCTAACCCCCCCCCCTCTTTTCTACATCCCTATGATGGCCCCAAACGGGCAGTTAGCTGCCTCTCACAGCATCGGAACCGTACTGCTTAATACTGCCCACGGCCTTCTCGATTCTGTCCAAAGGTCTAGGTCGACCTTATGCACAGAAACAAGCTGAACATTTTTTCCTCGAACCCTTTTCTTTATGGGGGCTTAACGCGTATGGTGTACAGATGTGCCTTCCAACCGCGTGGCACCAATAGAAGCACATCTGCTGCCATCGTGCCTTTTTTTTGCCGGCTGTGCTTGTGAGGAGTTGTGAGTGTGTGTGTCGTGGGTTGCACGTGTCTCACTCCTTCCCGTAAGGTCGAGTTCGTTCTTCTCTTCTCGGAGCGCTCAAGACTGTTGTATCTGTTCGATGACGCCCCCTCCTTCATGCAGTGATTCGTGTCCGCCATATGCATAAGGTTATTACGTACCGGCAATTATGCCGCAAATCAGCCCAACCTTGTTACCGGGATTTACCGGTACGGCGGTAACACGAGTCACTGCCTTCAAGACTGCACTCAAAGTGGTGCGGTCAGCGAGCCAATAGAAGCGCTACACAGTATTTCGGCACTAAGCCCGAGCTTTCGCTTTTTTCGTTAGGCCCTGCCCCGCGCAAGTGCTACTGTTTCAGCAGCAGGGACGCAAGACACCTACATACGCAGATGAACGATTTTTCGGGTGCTCGGAACAACCTTTTGTATCGTGTGATTGCCTAAAGTATGCCACGGAGCCCCCGACAATGACCCGGAGTCTTGGGGCTAGGACAGCCCCCCTTGAGCGGAGGAGAATCCACAGGGGCACTCCAATCGGGCCCTAAAAGCAATGAACGAACACAGATGTCCTACATTGTATTCTAGCAGCATGTGGTGGGCGATGTGTATGTGTGTGCACGCGAGCTTGAGACAGGCAGACCGTCCAGCGGAGGGCGATGACGACTCGAATTACTCTCGCTCTCTGGCCCTTGTCTGATTGTGTGCGCCCCTCTAATGCCAACGCATGGTCGTGATTAGGGTGCGTTGAGCAGAATTTCGCGATGTGTGTTGTCGCCTTTGTGTTTATCGGTTATTAGCCACATTTGTGTTTGGTGCTTGTTGGTGTTGGTGCGGACTACTCTCGAGTGCAGTAAGTAAAGTTGCCGCACACGATTAAGAAACAAACCTTTTAGAAACAAACAAAAAGGATCGGATTTTGGCTAGGGCTACTGTAAGAAAAATCGACTAAGAAACACACCCCGGCCGCGGATCCTACACTAATCTCTACAGTATACAATGGCCTACGTATTGCTCGATCGTGGTGACGACATAGGAAATTGAACCTCGACCCCAAATCGACGTTTCTTTACCGAAGGCCCTTACTGCAATCGAATAGCAGTGGTCTTTACCGTGATACCAGGACAACGCATGCCGAGACCTGCGCGTATCCCCTTACGAAAGTGCCAAGTGCCTCGTTTAGTGGGAAATATCAGGGACATTTGGTTAAATGTGTTGGGAGCCTGGCCCTCCGATGTTCCACGCGAGCCTGTCTTCTCTGCGGGAATGAGAAACAAACAAAGCGCGTGCGCACTCTAGTCTCTCTTGCGATACATACATATTATATGTGCACGGTGGCGTCGTGTAGTATGTGTTCGGAAGGCAATGTCTTGAAGCCCTATTGGTGTTCGCAACTGACACCCTCCCTCCCCTCTTGCGCTGCACCCGTGACTCTCCGTCATCACAGTGCCGCTTTCATGGAACGGGATGGAACAATGGAGGAAGAGGAGGAGGGGAGAGGGGATGGTACGCGAGATTGCGGTCTGCTACATTATCGGCCATTCCGGAGGGCAAAGCAGCTGCGTCGCTGTCGAGATTCGGTACGGTAGTGTAAACGGTCTTTACCGTGTCGTTTTTCTTGCTGGCGTTCAAGGTAGAAAAAAAGGAACCGCCAAAGGTGAACGGTGTCGAGTTTGCTTGTGCCGAGGGCAACCTTGTCAAACCCCAGCGAGCTCGCATGTTCTCGTATCAACGTGGCGGTTACAATTCGGCTGTAGTCGACAGCACGGCACGGTGGCAGAGAAACAACCGTACCGTATGCATTGGACACGGTATGCGGTATTTCGTCGTCACGGTTGTTGTTGCTGTTGTTGTTCTGGCGTGGGTTTGGGTAGGATAGAGAGGCCAGGCTAGTTCTGCCGATCCAACAACCCTACCGGTACTTGTTTCGCGGTGCACTGGTCAGGTGAGTGTCGGTCGAGAGCCGTACAGTACACCATCTGGTGGGTAAGTTTAGGTCCCCCATTTTCTCACCCGGGTGTCATTCTTTAGTGGTGCGATTTCACCAGACGAGTCGTAAATTTACGGCCTGAGTTAGTTATTTCATCGGCAACAGGAACACTGCCCGGAGACTTGCAAGATGTGTCCCTCCAAAAATGTGTTTCACTGTATTGGAAATGGCGCTAGTACTTTTCTATCGCGACTGCTGTGCATCATTGCTTGATGAGAGAGGCATGTCGATGCGTGCTTGCCCCGTTGATGCTTGACACCTACCTTCGGCCAAGGGTAAACAAGTTGGCTTTGTTAACACGGTCTGGTTTGATCCGTTTTTTTTTTCGAGGCAGATGTAGAGTGACTGTTGTGTGCTGTTTTTGGAGGTCGGGCTTGAGCCCGAGGTTGGCGGGGGTGCTGATGATGTAATCGTAGGTCTTTCCGTTTTGCGCCATAATGATGTAGCTGTCGCATGTATTGTCGAAAAATCTAGGCTATAGGTTGGTGGATTGAAGGGGGCTGCCGTCGAAACGTAGAATGCTGTTAGTCCCAAAACCCGTCGATACTGGCGGACGGCAAACGGTGCAATGCGTTTGGCAGGTCACTGCGCCTGCTTGCTGTCGGTCCAGAATGCTGAGCAGCAGGAGCGGAAATGTGTGCGCGTGCTGGGGTCTCGTTTTTCGCACGCGCGTGCTGCTACATCCGATTCCGCCGGTCTGCAGTAGAGTAAAATGTCAAAATGTCCCGGTCCCACTTGTTGCTATTGTTATTCGTTAGTCTCACCTGTGGGCTAACTACAGCTACTGCCGTGCCACCACCGTTGTCCCTGATTGAGGTGTGATTGGCCGGATACCACGCGTTGTTTCAGTCTTGTCTTCGTGGTTGACTTGGGTGCTTTTGGTATTTCGTAGCACGGTTGGTTACGATTGGATTGTTCGAACCTGTATCCAGTACGTACATACTCTGCTGATGATGAAGAGAGTTTCGAGCCTGCCCCCAAGGAGAGAAAGCTTTAAGGCCGATGGCATCATCTCCGGAAGGTCGGCAGTATGAGTGATGAGTCATCCGATGGCCTGCCTTCTTGTTTTTTTGTTGCGAAATTTCAGAACAAGACTTAAGACTAAGACTCCCGCCCGCGAGTTCCCCGTCTTCTTGTCGATCTACGTATCTTCTTCGCCGCATCTGCACGTCTGATGCTAATTTTTTTTCGTGATCTCGAGTTGATAATGATGGTGGGCCCCAAAGGGACACATAGGTTGATCTCGGATCGATCTCGGGCCCACCACCCATGGGCACGACACGGAGAGAGACCGTACAACAAATACTTCCGTTCAGGCAGCGTAGTTCTTGGCGCCCGCAGAGATTCGGGTTGGCTTAAAGAAAAACGGCTAGAACTACAGCTCAACGGGCAGGGTCCTAGACTACATAAACTGTAGTAGTAGTGTGGAGGTAGTTTTTTGCGATATAGACTACAGCAGCAGCAGCAGTCTATATAATATTTCTTTGAAGGTTACAATTGTAGTACTGTAGTGTGACTGACTGAGCAGCGACCGGGGCGACTGTTTACAATGTCTCCACAAATAGGACGTTGAGGCTCGATCCGAGAAGAAGCTACTGCTGCTGTAGTTGACGTCGTTTCTTCGCGTGTTCCTCGCTGCTGTTTTAATTCCTCGTTCATTCAGTACATTTTGGGCTTCACTCAATGGGAATTTATTTGTATTGCATCATCAGTCCTGTTCATGTATCGTAGACCTCACTACTACTATGCATACTGCTGTTTTCCCGCGTACAAAACTCGATCGAATCAAAGTTTCAAAGGTCTTCGTGAGGGAGGGCGTTTGATGTTCGTGAAGGAAGAAAGGTTGCAGCAGAGCAAACCTGCAGTTAGTTAGTTTTTGTGGGCTTGCGCCGGCAGCCGGACCACCACCAGAGTCGGTCGGACATTCTGCGGTCGCGCGATTATGAGTGAGTGAGACTATTGTGAAGTCTACCAGTATACAACAAGAACCCAGCAGCCACACGAGACAGGCACGGTACGTACGTACGTACGTACGTACGTGTCAACCTCTGGAACGTTCAATAATATTGCATGTATGTGGTAGATAGTGTGCTTTCTCTTGTAAATAATACTACGGCCACTCGCTGATGATGAATGGATATATTAATGCTGTATGCATGCTACCAAGTCTTTTAGACTATAGTCTAAGGCAAACCGTCGTTTTGAATAATGAAATGGCATCTATCTCTCGCATTGAGTGAGTGATGAGGAAGTTGTTGCTGTGCGGTGGGTGCCTTGCGTATATATATAGAAGAAAATATATTCCGCAACAACTGACAATCCACAAAAACAAACGCGTGGTGGACGATACCCCCCGCGTCCTGGAGAGCCTGCGCAGCAGTCCTGGAGAGCCTGCACACATCACGTCTAGACTACTACTGCTGCTGTAGACCCTGATCAATGGCAGCAGCTGCTGCTGTGTAATGCTCGTGTAGACATACATCGCTGGCTGGAGTGAAAAGCCCACCAAAAAGAAGAACCAGAAGAACCAGATCTCCAAGTACTGCTGAATGTAGAATGCATACAAAATATCTGCGATGTGGCCCCTGGGGAACATATCTGAGATCATCTGTAGATCACCACGCCGGGGTGCCTCAGGGCGCAGTCTACCTGCAGTATACTGGTTGGTTCGCTGCATGCAGTGAACTTGCGAGGGAGGCACCGCAAACACAACAATGAATGGTGGTGTGATGTACAACAACGTAATAAAGGTTGTTAGCATGTGGCCGACTGATCTATGTAGTACTGCTGTAGCTGATGATGACAACAATAATTTCTGTTCCTTTGTGTGTCTTCTATATTGTGCATATTATAGTAGCATCGACCGCCCTAACCGGCTGACCAATGAAAAGACGTCATCAGTCTCGGTGCGGTTACCCGCTTTGAGAAGCCAGCAGCCAGCTAGCTACATACATACTACCAATACCATCTCTTCTTCTCTCTCTCAAAGGGAGGAGGAGTGAGTGTGCTAGCGGTTGCTGGGTCGTTGCCGAGCACATCTGAGGGCGTGGGAGTGCCGACGTGTCCCTGTGCACACAGGAAGAGCACGCGCAACGCAGCAAGCGCGCGCGCGGGGGCAGCAAAAGTTGTTGGTGTTGTTGTTCGCAAAAAAAAAACGGAGACGACAAGAAGCAAGAGATTAAAAAAGACGGTGGCGAGAGCGAGCGGCTGACTACTGCTGTTTCGCTGCTGCTGCTGCTGCTGCTGCTGCTGCTGCAAACGCTCTTCTTCTCGGCGTGTAGCGTTAAGCCTGGAGCCTGGGCCTGGCGTGTGTGTCTCTGGCAGGGATGGCAACGTCAATCGAGCAGCACTATCCCGAATCAGGAGCAACAATGGAAGGCACACCACTGAAGCTATTCGTGGGACAGGCGAGCAAAGCAGAGAGAGAGAGAGAGAGAGAGAGAGAGAGAGCGTGTTGTTTTTGTGCCATAAAAACGTCGTTGCATCACACATGGGAACCCTGTCTTGTTGTCTCCGATGGATCTCGGTGCAAGAGGAGTCGTGCTGCGGCAGCCTCGCTCCAGCCCCGCCGAGCACCCCACACGTGTTGCAATTCTGGCGGTTGCCCTCGTGTGTGTGTGTGTGGGGTGTAACCCATCTCTTTGTGTCTCCGGCGGCAGAGCGGTTGTGTTGTTGGCGGCTGCAATTTCGATGACCCTCCTCTCTTCTGAAAAAGGGGCTTCCCAGTGTCTGCTGTGCCGTCCAGCATCCACCTGTGCATTGCAACACAGCAGTTTCTGACCGAGCTGGTTAGCGGCAACTAGCGGCCGGGCGGCATGCCGCCGCGATCCTCGACAACCTGTAGCGCTGCGTTCGTGTGTGGCAAAAAAGAAAGGAGGCACGGATGACCTGCTGTTGCTGATTTTTGCCAACCGCTGCTGCTGCTGCTGCTGCTGACGCTGCTGCTGCTGCTGCGTGCTGTAGGTGCCCAAGGACATGGACGAGGACCAGTTGCGGCCTCTGTTTGAGCAGGCGGGACCGATTGCCCACATCATGGTCATCCGAGATCGGCAAACAGACGCACACCGTGGTGAGTTGTGAGACTCCCGCACACGCGTACAAGTAGGGCCTCGCTAAGACCGAGGCTGTGCCTCAAAGAGCAAGTTTGGCGCTTGAGGTCGGGCAACCTACGGCGCCGTGTTGACATCAAAATGAGATAAAACGACAGACAATAGAGAGAGCGAGATTTTCCGTGTTGCTTGTTGTGTCTACAAACGTTTGTCCGGCGGGGGTATTTTGTGTTTTGCACATCGAGGGATCGATCCTCCCGACATAGAAGAGTCGGATCCGGCCCCGCAGCAGCGGGTAGCGCACGTGGCAGGGCTGGCATGGCACCCGAGCCTGTGGGCCCCGAGCGATGCCCTGGCTTCCTTTCCTCTCCCTGCAGCAGCAGCAGCAGGGTGTCTCTTTGTCTCTTTCTGGCTGCTTTTTTCCTCCAACCCAGGTAGATGGAAAGAGTCGAAAATCGAAAATCGGAGGATGATCCACCGTCGTGCTCTTGATCTAATAGGCGCTGTGCCGCGGCAGCAAGCTCGCACTTTGTGTGCATACGCATCAGTGCTGCCAGCCATAGCACAGCCCGAACAAGTTGCAATTGCCGATAGTTTGTTGGGTCACCGCGTGTTTTTTAGTTCTCTTGACCGGTGACCCTTGTTGGGGACACAAACGGCGCGCGTTTCGGGATGGATTATCTAGATACAGATTTGTCCCTGCAAACGGGTTCGTGTGTTGCGGGTCTACATCATAATCATTGGTTATAGTGTGTGTCACCTATTTTTTTCCTTTGAACAGACATATTTGAAAGATGAACAGTTTTTGGCTGCACTGCTGTTTTACGCGTAACCCTGCACTAGACGGACGTTCGTGGGATGAGGTTGCACCGTTGCACCACGACCACACGTCTTTTTGTTTTCGTGGGTGTGTCGTGTATCGGGGGCGCCTTTTCTGGGTGCGCCGCCCTGGTTGGACACGCCAGGCCGGTGTGCCTGGTTGGTGTGGTTTTTTTTGCGAAGGATTGGGTTCCTGGCGCGCCTTGGTGTTTTGGTTGGGTCTGGTATCTGGTACACTGGTACACGTTGACGTTGAAATTCGGGGCGGGCCATCCGCAAATCGGACGTTGAAATTCGGCGGACGTACCGCAAATCGGTGCGGGGTTGTGTAGGTATAGGTAGACGCTGCAAGTCCCTACGGTATAATACGGTACCTATCCATCCATGTCGAATGAGGGCTCGCCACTGGTGTGTGGTGTATACTACTGCTGTATGATGTGGATCACCGTTATATCCCCTTGGGGCCAAAAGTGTGTGTCAGCAGAGACCGATGATACTTTTCCTTTTTCCTTGTGTCCGGCGACCAGTATTTGGCAACCTCCATCCAGCATGTGCACATCACGGATCTTTTTTTCGAACTATTTTTTCGCCGAACTGCCGAGCGACGGCAGAGGATCTCTCGATTTGTCGCTCTTGTACATTAGTTAGACATGTCCATATTTCCGCGCACCAAGCTCGATCTTTCATGGGTATGGACTAGCTCGACTTGCGGGCAGCGAACACCGCAGCAATCTATTCGGAATCGATTGCCGTGAAGTCGAACCGAAATCCCCCCCAAGCTTTCGATTTCCGTACACTTGTACTTGTATGCGTGTAGGAAACGGTGACGACGCTATGATATTGTGCGCGTATGCAGCAGCAGTAGCAGCAGCAGGGTACATGATACATACTCTGACATGTCTACCTGCTCAGATTATAGATCCTGGCAGGCCGCCGCTGCTGTCGGTGCTTGAATGCCATGCCTTGCACGGAATCCATGCATACACGATATCGAAAGGTCTGCTTTGACGTGTAGAAAAGAGGTATACTATTATACAAGTAGAAGTTACAGCAGCTTGATCTTTTACCGTTCAGTACAACAGGGTTAAGTTGCAAACCCACTCGTACGTATGCGTACACTACAACTGCATTTTCTAGTTACCCGTTCCAGAGAGAAGAGTTCGTCGAAGAGTCAGCGAGAAATGCACTACTGTCACAGACTGCCATGGTAGTTTTCTAGGCGAAGTGCTGACTGCTTCGCTAACTCCGAGCTTAAGTGACAACTGCGACCGCCATCTTGACACATACATCCCTTGCACCTCGATGTAAACGGCAACATTGGACGTTTGCATCTATTTCATGCGCATGTTTCCGCCTCAACACAAAAAACAGGCTGCGCTTTCCTGACGTACCAGACGCGGGAGGCGGGAGAGAGGGCCGTAGACAAGTTCCACAACAAGGTTAAGCTTCCCAATGTGAGTGCTGCAAGTGCGCATGCAGGCATGTCTGTGCACAGGAGTTGCCCACTGCAGCAGATGCCCTGCCAGCTGTTTTGTTTTGTTTCGAAAACGGTCGTGATGTCAAGTACAGAGTAGTACCTGTATGCATAGTAACATACATTTTTCGAAAGAGGACTGAATGACCGTTGGAGATGATGTGTACTGTACCCTGTTCGAAAGGAAGTGGGCGTGAACACAGTCTTTGCAAAAGGGTTGAGAATTCATACAATACTCTGTAGCAGCGCATCATTTGGCTTCCCTTATCTTGATTCGCGTACAAGTATACGACGGCCTGCTATTGTATGCATAAGCTTTTTTTTTTCGAGTTGAGTAGACCACACCCAACCACTGTGCACACGCACGCCTCAGTGTATTGTGTGTGTATTGTATTTGTACCCGTCGGCCGTCACGATCGGTGGCATGGATTGAAAGCTGCCAGGCCGCACGGACGTGTCTGTCTGTCCGTGGGCGTCATGGGTGCCAAATATCGCATGCATGTGCATGTGTGCATACGCCGTATCCTAGCTTTAGAATACACACAACAGTCTAGTCATAGTCATAGTCATAGTCATAGTCATAGTCTATGGTGAAATGCAAACACCATATAAAACGATGCACTCCTGCTGCTTGTCAATTCTTGGCTCGTATGATATACCTGGTATACCTGGTTGATGTTGTTGCAATTGCAAACTTCCATTCCATTGGATGAGAGACATGGCAACCAACGATAAGGCGTTTAACGCTCAAGAAACCAACGCCGTAGTCTGCAGATACGCCAGCCGCCTACTTGGCCATCGCCTTTACCAAATCACAGTATACTTGGATAATGGCAACTGCTGTCTCGCGTGACACCTTGGTTGAGTCATCTATGCGGTACCATTGCAACAAACCAACGAATGCTGTGGATCTGTTGGTTGCGGAAACGTTGGCCTCGGCTCGTAGGGGACGCGTAGGTCATGTACCAACAACTCAGGCGGCGTCTTTTTGTGAAATTTTGGCACCATGGGTCGATCTCTGCACTTGTTTATCTCCCCGGAGATGGGCATGAACGTCAGTCAGTAACGGGAGCTCGGTGTCTTTTTTTATGGTGGTATTATATTACCCCCCACTTCTCAATTACATGACAAATAACCGCTTGTTTCGTTGGTGGTCCTCATCCCGCTTGGCTCCACCCTTATGTACAACAGTACAACAATTGTATTATTTCATTATTTCCAAAGATTGGTTCCCACGTTGTGGTGTGGTGTTGTGTCATGTGTGTCTATCCCACCCTCAAAGAGAGCACAGTAGCACCTTCCTCAATTAGTGAATTTTGCCTCATGTTCTTGTGTTTTTTGCCTGGCTTGTCCTTGTAGTCTCATGGGCTTGTCTGTCTGGTGGCTGTTGTTTGGGGTTGTGACCATATGGTATGGTACATAGGATGGTATGGTAAGCCTATTCGCCGTCGTGGTCTGCTGGTAGTATGTACCACGTTGGGAGTATAGGCTTGGCGTTGCGGTGGGTGTTGCTGCGACTACTGTTGTGTGTGATAGCATAGATACCCCCAATATCTTGGTATACGACTTCCACTGCATGAGGTTGGTATAATAGCGTCCATGACGATGGTGAACATGATATCTTGGCATACGATGTCCACTATTTGATTTTGGTATATGGCGTCCATGGCGATGGTGAACATGATATCTTGGCCTTCGATGTCCACGATGATGATGTTGATCTCTGACGTCCATGATAACAATGATGGTGATGTCTGACTGATGTCCATGATGATGATGGCGATGATGTCATTTGTCCGGCAGGCCCATAACCCCGTCCAAGTCAGACCGGCGGACTCGCAAATGGGTGATGACCGCCTGGGTGAGAGGAAGTCACGTAGTCACGTCGTCACATGCTTATGCTACTCGGTTGGTCTATTTGTCTGTGGCGAACATGATGCCACTTTGGCATATCACGTTCCCATGAGTTGAAGCGCAGCAGTAGACAAAGGCTGGGGTTGGTTATGCCTTAGCCTAGCACATGAAGTTGTTTTGGTGCCCTGAACGGTGAATTGCTGTGTAAGACGCGTTGGGGACTGAATTCGAATCGCAGTCTGTGGCAGATTGATTTTGCAAAGAGTTAGTGTTCATTCAAGGCGCCACAAATGAGCGACCAGTGGAGAAAATTCCGAGAAATTTCCCGGAGTGGCCCTTGGGGCTGCGGGGTGCGTGTTCCGCGTCATGGTCCTCACTCCTGGGGTATGTAGTTTGCACCCCAGGGTCAGCGTTGTAGGTGCACGGTACGGGCTTGGATACGTTATTTCGTACTCATTTCTCTTCACAGTATGATGCCCGCTTGCACGTGTCACTGCCTCGCTCTCAAGTGGCATGCATATGCGTGCATAGGGTCTCTGGACTCTCCCCTTGCAGTAGTGCATGAAGGTTGCTCCGCAACATGTACCATTCCCCGCTCGATCGACGTTACCGGATGACCTAATGCACCGCGCAGGGCCCAATGGCCGCGTTGCCCCGGTGGACCGTGAGAACAAGCTGTTCGTGGGCATGCTGCCGCACGACGCGGACGATATGACGCTGACCGAAGTCTTCTCTCGCTTCGGGGAGATCACCGAGGTGCAGTACAGTACAGTACGGACGGTACAGCAGTAGCCTAGAACAGGATGGTGTACCTGGTTAAATGGTACGTTTATCCCATACCGTGTAGCGGAAACCAGTGAACGCGAAACCTGCTACAATGGTACGGGTACGGGATAATCATCACACCGCCGTGGTATGCACACTGTAGGCAACCAACAACACGAAACCTAACGAACGACATGTACTGCAGTACCAGTACCACACCCGACATGGCACAACGAGCAACCTCTCCTAAGTCACGGGGTCTTTTTCCCTTCCCTTTCCGTCTTGTATGCATAGTTTGGGTGTCTCTGTCTTTTTTCGTCTGGCCGCCTGTCTGCCTTCTAAGTTTCTCTTGAAAGCTTGCCTTGCCTCGGCCGTCTCACGGTGTCCATACCCTTTCATCCCTTTCACAGCATAGCATAGCATCGCATCATGATGGGCTCGCGTTGCTTTTTCTCTCTCGTGGCTGTGTTGGTATCAGCTATTAATAGTTCTACATGTTGTTGCTTTCGACTTGTTCTCAACGTCATCTTGCCTACGGCTTCTGCCGCCGCCGCCGCTGCTGCTGCTGCTACTGTGGACTATGCGGTTCATCTTTTGTCATGGCGATGACTGCTGCTGCCGTGTGCTGCCTGGGGTACCATCGGCGCAATTAATGCTACTTGTACCGCAGATCTACTGCATGCGGAATCCGGACGGAACCCCGAAGGGCTGCGCCTTTGTGAAGTTCTCTACGAGGAGTGCTGCCATTGCCGCCATAGAGGCGCTGCACGAAAAGTGCACCATGGATGTGAGTAAGAGCAAGGCAGGATGCTATAATAGTAAGGACGAGAAGAAAAACAAGGCAGGCGCCAATGGAAACAGAGCAAGAGCAAGCGATCAAGGGACGGGAGAGAGCGAGAGCTTGAAAAGGGTCTTGCTTGGTACCATTGGTACCATACAATAGTACGATCTCATGCCCAAGACTCTCTTTTTTTTTTTTTTCGTTCTCAAAGAGGGCAGGAAGTCGCGTTATCTCTTTGCACGCTACCATTCATAAGGAGAGTTAGAGAGGACAGGGGATGGACCTTGGTATGCATACCAGTACCAGAAGCGCCAAAATCTCACCATGTTTCGCCCCCCCCCCCGCCAATGCTGCCGATGCCACGGTATGACACAACATGCGTTGCCGTAGGGGGCCACGAGGGCGCTGGTGGTAAAGTTTGCGGACGTGAAGAAGGCCCAAACGGCCAAGGGCTGGATGGTGCCACCGGATGCAAGGGGGGCCTCGCCACTCGGGTACAACGGCAGGTACCACGGAGGCGGTACGTCGGTGGGGGGGTACTGGCAAGCCACGGGGGCCCCAGGGGGGCGTGACGTGTACAGCAAGGGGAGGGAGGTGTACCCGGACTATGCGAACCATCGGGGATATCCTTACCAGGTGAGGGAGCGTGTTGCTTAGGTGGGAGGCATGCTGGCGGGTGCAGTGGTGTGCGGTGTAGATGTCGTGGGTGTCTGCGCTTGTTCACGTCAAACGGATTTCTCCAGTCTGTCTTGTCTGTCTTGTCTGTCTTGTCTGTCTTGTCTGTCTTGTTTGCTTGAGGCTAGGATGTCCTTGTCCTTTGGTGTGGTGTGCGTAAGGCTTGGTGCTGACTTTTGGAGTTAGACTACACGAGATGGGAGCTTCGCCAACGGGAGAGAAGTCGTTGGATGATGTGATGTGTCCGCAGCAGCACTTCGTAGCTTCAACTTTGGGAAATATGGACTGCCTACTTCCACTCTGTAAGGTAAGATAAGGTAAGGTAAGGTAAGGGGCCAGGGAACGAAGTGTTGCGTGTAAGTTGCAAAGTTCAAGAATTCGAGGACAACAGCAAGTGGCTTCACTCACGCCCCATCTCATCTCATCTCACGTCCAAACAAAATGACTCTGGGTTGTGCTACTGTATCGTTGCTCCTGGTAGGCAAACAAAAGAAAAAGAAAATACGGACGTTGTGGTGTCGTGTTTTCGGTCCTTCGTTGGTTTCTTGCGGCAGCACTGCAACCCTCAAAAGAGTTTCATAGACACAAAATGGTAATCTCACGACGTACGACGGAGGAAAGCTTCCGATGCGACGACCTCTTTACCCACGCTTGCTGCCCATGGAGGATAAATAGCCTCTCCCCTAACCCCTACCCCCCAACATTGTTTGCCCTCAACGACGTTTGTCCCTTGTCACCCCCTGTTTTGCTGTAGCCCGGATACCATTCACAGGTGGGGCCGCCGGGAGGAGGCTACTCCCAGTCATACGGGCCTGAGTACCCCCACCACCCCGGGCAGCCGCAGGCACGGCACGGTGGCTACGTGGCGTACAGCAACCTTAACCCGAGCCACTATCCCGCACAGGTGACTATACCACTATACCACTATACCACTATACCACTATAAGGCGGTAAATCGAGTTGTTGGGCCGCGCGTTTTGCGCTATGTGTCTTGGACTTGTGGTGCGGTGTCTGCAAGCCAAGCTGTCTCGGGTCAGGGTAACCTCAGAGCTTGCTATCATAGCCAGTGTGATGCGGCGTAACCCCCCACTCGAACCGATGTCGTAGTGATTGTGATTGTGTTTGATGTTTGATGTTTGATGTTTGATTCCTGCAGGTGGACAGGTCTCTTTCGCCCTCAAGCGGAGCCGGTGACCGCTCGCACAACTTCAGCTCGCCGCCAGGGGGCCCCGTCCCGGGCGGCATTGGGGGTATGGGTGGAATGCGGGGTGACGGCAGAGACTCGAGGGGGGAGCACGGCGGAGGGGCTAGGCCGCAGGAAGGTGGGATGCTAAACCCTAACCCTAGGTGTTGACGGTAGACTGCTGTTGCTGTTGGTTTTCTCACACGTGATCTCACCCTATAATAGTGCCCCAGGAACGGCTTTCTGCACCTCCTTTCCTGTATTGTATGTAACGGGCGGGATCTTGACTCCCGTTTCTTTAGTCAAAGACGGCGTTGTCGGTGCTTGTCCTGGAGCCGGCCGTTGGAGACAGAGACAGAGACCGAAGGACTGTCTGTCTAAATGCCTTTGGTATTTTGGTATTTTGGTGCGGAGAGAAGTGGTATCGAGTACATATTTTGTCAGAAGGGGGTGCTGTTGCTGCGTCGTACTCGTGCCGTACTCCAGCTGGTGGTTGTGTACGTACCTGGTGTCCAAAGTACGTTCATAGAGCGCCCTGTGGTTCGAAGAAAATTGGAGTAAGTGATGATACGATGAGAAGCTCGGCCGCATCGCATGAGACATGCGATCGGGTAACATGAGCACTGTGACCTTCCCTTCGTTGAGTTCTAGGCCGCGGGGCAGAGGGGGGAGTTGCCACGTTGTTTTTTGTGTTTCCGCAAACATGACCCACTCACCGAGACCGAGTCAGGCTTGTCTCCTTGGTGAAAGTGTTGGACAAGGGACAACGTCTTCCTTGTGCTTGCTGTGCATAGCGCTTGTTTGCAAACACAAAGTTAATCTTAATCTTAATCTTAATCTTAATCTTGCATGAGAACGGTACGAGACGAGAAGAGATGACGAGACGAGACTGAGAGCAGGAGCAGGGGCAGCTCACCTGCTGCCCTCACATGCAGAAAACGGTGCTGATTGGCTCCTGGTTGAGATTGAGATGACATGATCTACGACGATCTACGACGGTGTCGGTATGTCGGTACACACCGTAAGGTTGCGAGTCAGCGCACAGGGGTGGGTGCGATCGATTTTCAACGCGTATTTTCTCCACAACCACCAAGAGGAGGAGGGTGCGAGCGCCAACTGATACTTGTCAGGAAAGCCCTCGATGAGATATTTCCAAAACCGCCCTCTTCGACAGTGCTAAGTAACCTCATGGTTGTGGAGAAATTTCGCTTTGAAAATGGTTGGCACCCCTGTGCGCTGACTCGCAACCTTACGGTAGATCTCCGTCGAGTTCTCCGAAAACGCCATTATCTTCGAGACACTGCTGTGTGGTGGCCTTCATTCGGGTGGGAATATACATTGGACGAGACGAAACCTCCCGCTGATGATAAAACCCAACCGTGAATTCCCCCTCCTTCCAATACTTGGATTTTGTGTCGTGTCCGAGGGAAAAAAAAAGAAAAGGCATGTAGCGCACACCAGGTTGCACTGACAGGGGGGTGCGGTGTCTATCGACGTTCTGAGGTTTCACACCAAAGATTGTCGACCAAACAACACTGTCTGCTGTGCGGTGCCCCGTCGTCGTGGCGTGTGTCTGTCCACTAGCCACTAGCACGTTTAAGGAGGCCGTCTGTTACTGCGGCATTCCGTCGAACACGTTGGGTCGTTTTTTGTTTGTCGGTGTTCTTGTGTGTCATAGTCTCTTGTCTTGTCTTGTCTTGTCTTGTTGCTAATTTTTCGCTCGGTTTGATGAAAACTTGGAGAGGATTCGAGAGCCTTGGGACGCACCCACCTATTGGTAGTTCTTGACGTTTATGCACGCTTTTAGCAGGGTTTTGGTCGGCATGGATGTTTTACTGTTGTCAAAATGGCCTCTGCTGTCAAAATTAGGTGCAATATCCTTTGACGCACCCCATGCACAATATCCTTTGACTCTCCCCTTTGAACGAGAGTGTTAGACGAGAGGTGTGCAGCAGTAAGGTCGAGGTGCTTTGTCCGAGGCACGGCTTGCCACAGCGAGACACGCAGCCACAGCCAGCGACAGCCACACTAAGTTGAAGACGGCTCACAAAACCAAACACAAACACTCTCCGACAACCACGGCGATGCGATACGACTAAGGATGAGATGGTATCAGCCTAACCAACCGTAATCCAGAAGACCCGCGATGGCACTACACGCGTATCCCCTTTAACCCCCATTGCTCTGTTGCAGGCCCTCCTGGTGCCAACCTTTTCATCTACCACCTGCCGAACGACCTGACGGACGCCGACCTCGCGACGGCATTCGCACCGTTTGGGCACGTGGTTAGCGCGAAGGTGTTCCTCGACAAGCGGACGCAAGAGAGCAAGGGCTTCGGTGAGATAAAGGGTGTGCGAGAGGTAGTATCGTGACACATGCATGCATGCACCACGCTCCCAGCCGTTGTCATGATTTTCTGCTGATGTTCGTGCGTTCGTCTGCAGAGATAGATGGGTGCATCGTCTTGATGGTTGTCTGTCCCATGATGACGGTGAAGCTCTTGCGGTAGTCTGGAGATGGCCTTATGGTTACGGCGTGTTGAAACTTCATGGAACCCCCCTGATGACAACAAAGACCATACAACCTCGAGACAATCTTGTATCACAAGACAAACGTTGTAGTGTAGCATCTTCGCTGCGGCTGCTGGTGGTGTACAGTACAGTACCCTCTGAGAATACGCTACCGCTACTGAGACTCGCCACTGCTGAAGCCCACGAAATATGTACTTGTATTAACAGCTTTTTCTGGTGGAGAGCGAGGCCGAGGCGAGACAGGCATGTGGTAGAGCGTATTAGAAAATAATTTTAGCTGGGGATGGATGATGCTGCAACGACGGCGATGCCCGTCAGGTATGATAACCAGAATGACGGGATGCGTAAGGCAGCACCAACAGTTGGTTTTGGGCGCCCCCTCCTGGTCACGATGGGCAGCGATTTCACCGTGTTTGTGTTTTTTTTTCTTCCCGTCCTGATGCCTCGATGCTGGCGATTATGAAGGCGAGGTCCCCGAGAAACACGCTTCTGCGTTCTTTGTTCCAGCAACCTCTGTGGTGTCGCGCTCATATTCAGGAAAGCACTCAATCTGTACCAAAGTTTTTACGGCCACAATGTACCTGAGTAGCGTTATGGTAGATGTACCATTTTTTTTTTTTTTCAGGCGCTGCTTGCCTCTTCTCCGTCGACATGGCTGCCGCGCTGTTTGGGCAACAGCGGGTTCTCTTGGCGCACGGCAGGAAAGGTATCGTACTCAACCAGATTGAGTTTCTGTTTGTTTCATTCTGAAATCGTTCCATGTTCTGTATCAATACGATGATCGATTTTGACTTTGACAGGGTTCGTGAGCTACAATCACCCCGCCGAGGCGGAAGTGGCCATCTCCAAGATGAATGGCTTCCAGATCGGCTCCAAGAGGCTCAAGGTGCAGCACAAGAAGGCTGACCATGGCGACAGGTGTGCAGTGTGTGCAGCAGCAAAGCTAACTAACCTAACCGGTTGACGGACGAAAGCACGCCCGTCGTCTGACTCACAGCGCGACAGAAGCTCTGCAAAGACTCTTCAACACACGTCTCTTGGATAATATCTCGATCGAAGGGGTGGTCTGTCTTTGCTGTCTTTGCTGTCTTTGCTGCTATGACGCGTATTCTGGGATTTTCTACAATCGAGAGCAAGCTTTCTATTCTAACTGCGGTTCCCCTTTGAAGGAAGGGCGTTGACAACGGGCAGAGTCCTGTCTCCGGGTTCATACTATTAGTAGCTTCCTGCTGGGCGGTGTCTGCCCCTGTGCTTGCAGTATTTGACTGCAACTTGTGATCACATCGCGTCCGACGATGCTACTCTCTCGCACTATTGAGCCCGGCACTAAAGTAGCTACGTGCATGTGTGTGTGTGGCGTGTTGCTGTTGCTGGCATTGACAAGGATCACCGGCGACCTAAACGGCTGCGCTGACGCAACGTCTAAGTAGAGGTTGAAGGATACAATACTCGAGACGTGTCACCGGCATGCCTGGGTGTTCGCCACCCATTTGCGGCACCTGTGTGTGGTGTTGTGTCCCCCTATCTTCGGATATTGTACGCATACGCCATCACAAGATGAGCCATCTCTACAGACTGAGGCCGTTTTAGCTGCCACCAACGAAGTCGGGCTCGCACATGATGGGTCGCATCACTGCTGACTGTAGTTGACCATGTACAGTATCGTCCGTCGGGCAAGGAGGATCCATCCCTAACCCAACCCCAACCCTAAATGCCGTCTTGACAATGCTTGTGTGACGTGTAACGTGTGACGTGTGACCTTTGCCAACAGGGAACACGAGTCGCCCCTTCGGTACCCCGGACACCACGGCCCCCCCCGCGACATGCAGGGGTCGATGCAGCAACAGCAGCATGGCATGGCGCCGCTGCACGGTGGGTCGGGGCGGCTTGGCATGGGCTACGGTAGCGGTGGCGGCAGCGGTGGCGGCGGCGGTCCTCCCGACGCGTCTCCGGAGATGCGCGGGTACCACTCTCACTCTCACTCGAGCGACAGGTGTGATAGTGTGTTAGTGTGTTAGTGTGATAAATAGCACGATAGTGTTGGTGTTATGTAGTGTTAGTGTAAGTGTGTTGCTGCCCACCGTCAACAGCGGGTCCTCATGTTGATGGGATCCTAGAAAACTGATGGTTCAGATTTTGTCTTAGGGTTAGTATGTAAATTACCTCCTCTGCTGCACGTCACGTCGCGTTCATACAGTATACTCCGGAGTAATAGTTTCGGCCGATGTGTACAACAGCAGTATAATAGCAGCGTCGGGTCCCGCGATTGAGCAATCGAGGCTCGTCCATCCACCCGTCGTTGTTTGTCACGAGTTCAATTCAGTTCCCCGCATCCCCACCCTCTGCCTCGTTGTTTGCCCTGACCCTCCTTCCTACCGCGATGTTTTTTTTTTTGTTTTTTTTTTGTGTGTTTCGTTGACATCCATCCCCATCGGACAGCAGCAAGGTCATGTACACCGGGGGCGGCGACACCCGCACCATCTACGCCGGGCCGGTTCCCAGCTCCTCCTACGATGGTGGGGGCGGAGGCGGCAGAGGGGGAATGCCCGAGGATTCCACGTCAGGCGGAGGCGGCTACCGTGTAAATGTCAAGCCTGGCCCGGTGGGACTCGGCTCCGCCGGAAGTGGCGGCGGGGGCGACGGCGGGGGCGGCATAGAAGGCGGCGGGGACGGCAACAGCGCAGCCCCGACTGGAGGCGGCATGTACCACCCTGACGGCGGCGGGGGGGGTGAGGGGGGTCTCTGAGTACCACACGCAGCCTGCTATCTAGGCGCTGTAGAGAAGGGGGGGGTGGCGCAGCCATTGGTTTGCCCGCCAGCTCTGGTTGCTGTATCGGGGCCGGCGCGTTCCTTTCTCCCCCACGCGGTGTACGGGCCCGTCGCGACTGGTTCCGGTGAGGTCTGTTTTTGTTTTGTTTCCCCGCTTCTTGCGTGTTTCGGAGCGGTGATGCGGGGACGGGGCGTGTGCGGTAGGGGAGGCAATTTGTTGGGCTCGTTTTCCCCTCTCCACAACAAGTTTTAGTACACGGTGCTCCTTTGGGCGTTCTCAGGCAGGCCGCTGGAATCTTGGCATTTTTCCGCTGCCGTCAGTTTTGTTGGCGAAGCTTGACCGTTACGGTGCCCCTGGTTGGAGGGGGGGTATCACCGGGCGTGTGGTGCAGAACCGGTTTTCACTGGCGCATGTATCAGAGGAAAAAGAGAAGAGAGGCCTCATTGCAGGGCGTGTGGAGAAGGAGGGGGCGGTCCACCACTGTGCATGGGGGGACCAAGTCGGGGCGTGCCATGCCCGATCACTCCTTGCGCGCACTCGTTCCGATGGTTTTTGTTGTTGCTGCGGTTGGGATGCTCCGTGGTTTGCTGAGGCGGCCCCTGACGGATGACGTCCTTCCTCTGGCTTAGACTTCTTTGATGAGAGCCCGCGAATTTTTGGCCGTTGCGCGTTTCGTTCTTCGGGCAAGAGAGAGAAGAGAGAAGTTTAAACAAACACAAGTTTTACACTTTGGATATCGTATCGTGCAATCGTTCAAGTGGGTGTTGTTGTTGTTGGTTTCTGTCGATCGGTGCATAAATCGTACGTGACGATTTTTTTTTTCTTTTGGCGGAGACGCTGTTCGTCCGTTGTTTTTGTTGTATTCGTGTCTCTTTCGCGTCTCTCCTCTTCTCTTTCCTCGTAGTACTCTACTCTTTTGTTGTAAAGTCTCTGTATTCTGCACGGACACGACTGAGATGGAAAAGGGAACGGCCGCAGCAAGAAAGAGTAGATCAACGAGAGGACTTGATCTCACAAGTGTAGCGAGAAATCGAGGTCATAGGGGAGAGGAGCAGGGGTAGAGAATACAGCGGTAGTTTTTGTCGATTTCGTATTTGTTTCGGTTTGCGTATCGCTTCTAAGTTAGTAGTGATATGGTAGAGCTAAGGTTGGTACAGTACAGTACGAGTAGGAGAAAGAGAGCAGCACGACCCTGGCTTAGGTGTGGCTGGGCGGCATAGTTTTGTTTGCTATTTGCGGTGCGGTACTTTGCAAGTTCGTGCGTTTGCTGTCTGTGTCGTTATCTATAGTTTTTGCGTCACGCTCTCTTTCGTTGTTGGGGGGAGAAAGAGAGCTGCGCATACACGACGTTGCAATATTTGCAGGTGTCAGAAAGGGGGGGGGGAGGCTGGGACAGAAAGTCCCCGCTGTGTTTGTCAAGAAGTAAAACGTTGCGACTACTTGCCGGTTCTCCTGCGAGGAAGATTTATTGGCCTGTGGTGGTGCTGTATGAGAGGCGAGTGCGGCTACTGTTGGAAGGGGCGGGGGGGTTGCACATGTAGCGCAATGCACCGCCCGCCCCGCGTTGGCCTACCAGCTACCGAGACTACGGTACGGTCGGTCAAGTGGGCGGTACAAAAGAGAACACAAACTATTGCGCATTTTTGTTTCTGAGGTGGGAGGGAGCTTGCGGCCTGGTCGTTGTTGTCGTTGCTCTCCTGGTGCGATCGATCGGGAAATTGATTGATGTTGATGGGAGCGTGTTGTCGGTGTTTGTTGCTCCTGTCTCTCAACGTTGGGACATTGGGACACACGTCTTTCGTGTACGGAAAAGAGTGCGCGCGGGCAAGCGATAGCCTTGCTACTTTGCCGGGAGGTAGGAGGTATGCATAGGCGAAAGCGCCTCGGCTGAACGTGTCAAACATTATCAATAGGTGTGTCATTTTTTTACCTCTTGTTCTTTTTTTTCGATTCTCGTGTGTCAGAAATGTGGAGACAGTGAACGCGGTGAGGTGAGATGGGGGGGGGTGAGGAGGGGGGGTGTACCACAAGAGGTATAACTGCTTGGTGTTGATTGAGGATGAGAACGGTACATACACATTTTAGCTGTTTGATGTTGGTTTTTTGCGCGGGGCCCATTTTTTCGTTTTGCGCGAACGTCCTTTACATCACCCGCCTCGCCTGTTGGGCTTTTCTACTTTAGTCTTTAGTCTGCTAGAGATGGGAGCGTTTATTTCTGGTTTATTTTTTTTAGTTCGAAGTGTTGACAGGTCGGGACGGGAAGGGGCAACAAGGGGATGAAAAACCGCGGCTTTATGGCATGCACATACGTAGATGTGGTAGGATGGGGAAAGATGTAGTGAAAAGCGGCAAGAGCGAGCGACAAGAGGAGAAGGAAAAGTTACGGGCGTGCAGCTTCTTGCCGTGACATCTCTTGCCGTGCGATTGGGCGGATGGATGGACGGACGAGCAGGCGCAGAGAAGGGAAGGGGAAGGGGAAGGAAGATGACAGTTGGAGAGAACGAGAACGTCTCTGAGTTGGCCGCGTCCGACCCACCCATGACCGTTTGGCGCGTCGTTTAGCCAACCACTTGTTTGTCCTGCTCTTGTCAGGGCGTCGTTTTGTTTTTTAGTTTTTTTTTTTGCCTCGTGGGGTGGTGGATGGTTGTTCTTCATGGCCCTACCGTATTGCACATACCATACAACACAACATTCAGTCAAGCGTGACGTACATATGGTGCAGTGAGACGCAGGGAGACCTGCGTTGTTTTGGCGGTCTAAGTGTTGTCATAAAACGGTCGGAAGGGCGGATGCGGATAGATGCTACATCAGGCTTTGATTGAGGATGGAAGGACGCTGATGGGTGGGTCATGATGCGGCCACGGCGTAGGCTTGGCGATGGTGCTGTGTTAAAGAGGGGGGACGGGGAATGGGGACGGGGGGGGGGGAGGAAGGAAGGAAGGAAGGAAGGAAGGCAATATGTATATCTATCTACACCAAGGTGATTTTCTGCTCTTCTCTGTACACTGGATCACCGACGAATTACTACTGAACTGTAAGATATCTGCCGTGCCGTGCTGTACCGAACGCCGATGATGGTAGCGATGGTGACGGGCGATTGTGGTAGTTCTTGCCGGCTTTCGCTACGCCGTCCTTGTACTTTAGGTACTTGTATTGTGTGCTTCCTACCGTGATTTTACGTCTGGTCTGGCCGTGTCATGTCTCAAGTCTTGTCGTCCTGTCTTGTCTTGGCTTCTTTTTCTTTTCTGCCGTGCCCGCTGTGTCGGTGGCCGTGATTTGATGATTTGATTGATTGATGAGTTGATCAACGTGCTGCAGCCTACCTGCTTGTTGTTCCTTGCGAGCGCGTGCGCCCCCCTGCGCCGGCTCTGTTCGTTCGTGTGGTGTACCTTGCTTTGCTGCTGCTGCTGCTGCTGCTACTTCTGCTGCTAGCTGCTGCTGCTGCTGCTGCTGCTGTGCCCTGCCGGTTTTGTCCTGTCGTACAGTCTGTCGTGCAGCCTACATGTGGCGGTCTTTGTGGTGTGCTTCAAAGGTGTGTAGTGTTTAGACGGCATCATCACGCGTTTAGCGTGTCGTACAAGGACTATTTTCCACGATAGATCACACCCTCCTGTTTGTCGTGTGTCGTGAATCGCGTGTCGCATGGTGGCGGTGTTTAGACTATTTTGGCTCGTGTTACAAGGGAGGGAGACGGTATGCTGTTGTTGCTGCTACTACTGCTGCTGCTGCTGCTGCTGCACAAACGCCGTACGTCGTGACTTTGTTTGATTCGCGGTCTGATTCCCTCTTTCGCCAGAATCCAATGAGCCACGTGTGCCGACCGGCGGAAGTGTCCACACAACGCACGCACGAACTTTGGGTGTTGTGCTGAGGTGGTCGCGTTATCCCCACCCACCCCCCGTTCCTCCCGGACGCGGCTTTTTTCGTCTCGCCTGCTTTTTTTCTTTTGCTGTTTGTTCCGGCTGCAGTGCGCATCCCATGCTAACCACAGCAAAGGCGGCCTTGCTATTTACATTGTGTAATTTCGACTTCGAACATATTTCTCTACGTTGTCGGCTCTTTATTTTCAGATCTTGCAGACTCGGGTGGTCATATGGGTCAGGTCGCGTTATTTTTTCAGTTGTCCACTTGTTTTTGGTGCATGTGTAGCGTGACGAGTGGTGCTTAGGGCGGCACGACGGGGGCGAGGACCAGATCCTACGTATCCGAACGCAGCCCGAGGTGCATGTTTTTAGTATATCTCTTTTGACTTGGTTCAGATATACGAGTACAACTGGCCCTCCTGCTCGTTTGGTCGGAGGACGCTGGGTGGAGGGTGGAGGGGAGGGCGGAGCGGGGAGGGTAAAAAATCTCACGTGATTTTCTTGTTTTGGCGTAGTTGACGTCGTGTTCGATGATTGGTGTATTCTTTTAATACGTGCTGCAGTAGGTCGCTCGGGTGGGTGGAGTCACCATGTTTTGGTTAATTTTTGGATTTGGACAGCAAGTCACACGGCTGCCTGTCGAGCCGATTGGTATTGGTGTTCTTCGCGCGTCGGGTAGGGTGTAATGGGTGTAGCGTTTTTTTGCCGATTGACCCAGCCGTCGATGTTGATCACGGCGCTCTCCCTGGCTTGGTTCCTCTCGTGTCTTGCTGGCGTCTCGGGGAACGCCGTGCCATTGGGCCGTGCGAACGAAAGGAGGCACTTACTTGCCCCGGCGGCAGTCAACGACGTGAATCTGGCTCATTTTTTCATGGGGCATGGCGTGGTCGGTGGAAGTGAACCTGTTTTCGTGTTTTTGCGAAAGGTTGACGGTGTGTCGATTTCGCCCTTTGCGCTGACAGGGCGAAAGCGTATCGGGGAGAGGCGTTTTTTCCTTTCCACGTGCACGCGAAAAGCGTGGTTTCATAAAGTTCATGTGTTTGCGTATCTGCCGAGCCGTTCCTCGTTATCTTAGCAGCAGCGCAGCAACACTTACTGTTGCAGTGTCAAAGGCTGGGTTTGTGTGTGTCTTCGAGCGTTCTTAGCGCATATTCGGAGAAAAGGATGGGAAATATTCAAGGGAGGCGACGAAATGGGACATGCCCCTGGGATAAGGAAAAAAATGGGGTCGTGATCGTTTACAAACGGGATGAGACAGCAGCGCTGCGACGGCGGGCACCTTCAAGAACACATTCTTTCATTTCAGCACCTCACGCACAAGGTGTCCGGGCAGCACGCCCGACCAGTCACAAAGACTCGGCCGGCATACGTAACCTCTTAGTTTACCAGAGGCTCGCTCGCTGCTTCTTACATGGTTCCCAATGGCGGCTCACAAAAAAGTGAGAAAAACATAGGTAGGGGATTCTACCTTTATCAACCCTAGCCCTAATCCAAGATGGGGTAGTACAATGCACCAATAACCCCTGAAGCCTTGCCGCACACCCCATATACCAGTAGGATTGTTAAGCGCCTTCGGCGACGAACAGTGCGACCCAATACAGCAGTACTCCGGTTTGCGGCAAGCCGCACATCCCCTCCTTCGAGACATGCGCTGACGAGGAAGAGGAAGAGGAACCCCACGCCCGCATGCCCTAATTTGGTCCTTGGACCAGATAAAGTGCGAAATGGAATGGCAAAGCGCAGACATTCGGAGCGCGTCAAAACTGCTGTTCGTCACCCTAACCCCAACAAAATCAATATAGGCGAGAGGCTGTTCCGCACCAACAGCTCCGCGAATCAGCAAACACCCTGCAAAGCATGTGATGACAGCAGCAATGCCTCACCCGCACGGATCGCATCCTCAGAGTATCACATCCTACGCAATTCGACACTGCTGTGTGAAGATTTTTTGGACTCCTACACAAGAGCGGTCGCAAACTTTTACCCATGGTGAAAGATGTCGAACCATCTACAGAAGGCCATTGGTGCAAGGTGTAATTCATGCGCAAAACAAGTATGCTATCGTTGGAATATGGTCACATACGCAAACAAAGACCACGAAGAGAAGAGAGAGGGGGGGGGGGGCGTACTCATTTGTTGCTTGCCGTAGTCATTTGACCATTGACTCGCGTCCCTTTCGAGACGGAGCACCGTTCCTACACCTACTAGAGACACCACCAACATTTGGGAGCTCTTTACGTTTCTGCCACAAACTCCATAAAAATTTCTTGCACATCTTATCTCCGTCCTCTAGGGCCTCTTGTGCCCACCATCTATCCCCAATTATCGCGATCGTTTTTTTCGCTGTTGTCTAATTTACCAAACTTGTCCATGTCACACCCTCTCTGTCTCATTTCCTCCTCGAGATCCTCTCTTTCCTTCCTGTACAACTCACACTCCCCAACTAGGGGGGGGGGGGGGGGGGGGGGGGACGTGGTTCTTTCAGGTCTTGGTATTTGATGCAGTCGTGGGCTGATGTACTCGGTCGCGCAACAACCAATACTCAACCCTACCATATCGCGATGCCCAAAATTAATCAATGTAGCAGGATGACCCCATGCCATCGCGACGCTCTACAGTTGTAGAACTACCCCACTGCGTTGGGTATAGCGTACCCTAGTAGTTGGGGTGCAACGTGCGACTAAATAGCTAACGCCTGCCAACATACCACGAGACAGCGACTCTTGCAATTACAACGTGTTTGACCAGCCAAGGTAGAAAAAACGCAGTTGAAAATGCTATGTAACAACGCAGGGAAGGGAAGGAAGATAGCGAGCCCTCAACGAAGAGACGAGGAAGTCGATCGATCTACTGTACGCGACCTGCACAAGTGGTCAAACGTGGTATGTATACTAAACATCACCTTTAAGGAAGTCACCTGCTGCTACAACTCAAAATGAGGGTAGTGAATGGCGACAATAACGCCAGCATAGGAAGGGGCGAGATAAACAAGAGAAGGAAGCAGATAGCGCGACCGCCAGCGATTTCGTCGCTGTGCGTCATTGACAGATAAAATATATCAAAAATAGACTCAAAATAAGCTCAGAATCCAGCCGTTTTTTCTCCCATTCACTGCAAAGACTTCAACACATTCCCTTGGACTGCGGTGACGTCTCGAACGGGCAGGCTCTGTGGGCTGGTATGCATATTTTCTTGACATGCACGAAGGACGAAGGACTCACCCGACGCGATCCTTCTCTTGGCCCTGCCGCCTCCACACTAATCTTGCAGTTCGTCCTTTCTTCGCTTCGTGCTCTTCTTTTTTTTCTTCTTGTGCTTCTTTTTGCTGCCTCCGTCAACACTTGGAGATGGCTCCCTCTCTCCGTCCTTTTCTCGCTTCTTTTTTCGGCGTTTTTTGTCCTTGCTATTGTTTTCGCTTGGTTCGACACTCTTGCCGTCATCCTGTTGCGCTTCGCATGGCACCATCTCTCTTTTCCTTTTGCCGGTCTTGCTCTCCTCCTCTTGCCGTCCCGCCTTCTTTCTCTTTTTTCTCTTCTTGCTTTCCTTGGTCGAATCGTTCTCGCCACCTGGGAGATGATATAACAGTCGCAAGAGAGGCCACTGTCCTGTCGTTAGTGGTATCAGAGGTGAGGGTTTTCCAGTGTATCTAGACTATTGTATGACGTGTGCAAATGCTGGCGAAGGGTTAAGGTTCATCATCGTATTAGCCACGTGTGCACAAAAATACTTCCATGTGGAACCACCGAGCTTTGTATGTGCACACGCAGTCGGTCTATCAAGCAAGAGATCCACGCGGCTGTACCTCTGAATACGTGCGTGATAGCTTTGCTTTCGAGTAAAAGAGACTTCAGGACCGAAAACATGGAGAAAGGAAACGTCGCACCGCTTTTTATGGCTGCAGAATGTTGCAAGAAAAGCTAAAGTTGTCCAACTTTTCTTGCAACTTTCCTATGTACGCTCATCACACCCACCAAAAAAAGGTATGACGTGCAAGAAGCTATCATATCATAGCACTACCTGATCCGGCGTCGGACAATGGAAAAGCCACGGTAGGAGCAGCTACCGCGGCAGAAGACGGTGACGCTTGGGCAGCTTGGTCCATGGCCTTCTTCTCGTCGTCGACTTCCCTCTGCAGCCGACCTCTTACTGCGTTTAACGCCTGCGTCCCGAGAAGAAGGATCGACATCAGTAGTGGACCGCGTACTACAACACGAATATCAGATTAACTTGGTGCCCCGACGGCAAGGTGTCGTGTTGCTGATGCTGCTATCAATACATGGGTGGTATCACGCCTCTAGGCCTGCAGGTCTGGAGCGACGGGGGGGAGGGTACTCATAGTCGTGCATGCCGTAGTCGTTAGACCATTGACCTCGCATCCCTACAAAGCCGGGACGGAGCACGCCGGATTCTCACCGGACCAGGCTCTCACATCACCAAGCGCGAAGCGCCGTGAGGTATTCGGCGAGTCGCATGAAGGGTGCGCTGCATCCTGCTAAGGGTGTTCGGCATCTTGTGTTTACTTCCTTGCGGACGGATGATGACAGCTGCGTATGACTTGATTTACTTTCTGGTGCTTTCACTTCCAGAGACAGTTGCAAGCACAGTGTAACTGCCACGAGGATGCTTGACCATATTAACACAACGTGGTGCGATCATCCCCCTTGCGCGGAGTGAGGTTTCTCCACCACGCACAACATGATCTACTCGACCACCATTATGGTTACCGCCAAAAAAAAAAACAAGGTAAAAACAAAAACGGAAACCTGGTTGCCGAGCACGAAGTGAATTGGCTTGTTTTACAACGTCGTTGCCAAGCGACGAAAACCCAATCCCGATGGCAAACACCGAGGGGGGGGCTTGTTTTACAACGTCGTTGCCAAGCGACGAAAACCCAACCCCGATGGCAAACACCGGGGGGGGGGCTTGTTTTACAACGTCGTTGCCAAGCGACGAAAACCCAACCCCGATGGCAAACACCGGGGGGGGGCGGGAGGGGGGTAAGTGTTATGGGATTGAATGCAGGAAAGTACCAACGGTAGTGCGGGCTGATTCCCAGAGGAATGACGGGAAGAAGTACCTGAACAAATCAGGGGACATGACCTTTGTTGCCCCTGTTTATCGGGAGTTACATCTCCCGCATTTCCTCTGGGAATCAGCCCGCACTACCGTAGATACGGTATTTTCCTTCGTTCAAATCCCACGACGTCGGCACAAGCAACCAGCATGCACGATGACCCAGCAGACACCACCTCCGAAGGTCAGCACGCATCAAAACCAGACGCTAGTAACAAGCCCGTATCAAGCACAAGGCGTTGACATCTGCCAGACTCTCGCTGCGCGGGAGGTTTGGACGGACGCAGTGATGCCGAAGCAGCAGGAAGTCGCGCAGAGTGACTTGGCGTATTTTCCAACTCCAGCGCGACAACGTACCTACCCCACACACCACCGCGTGGACGTGCTCCAATAGCTGCGCAGTAACAAGCACTACGTCTAGCACACAACCAAAAATGTTCCCGCCCAACAGAAACAGAAACAGAAACAAGTCAAGCAAGCTGCCCTGCAGCCATCCGTTGAGGTAGCCGCTGCAGCCGAGAATGACATGGGCTAGAACACGCGGAAAGACGTCTAAATAATCGAGATGCTACACGTACCTCTCGGAACTGCAAGTTGGCGTTTGGAGCCTGCAGCTCCCGCTCTCGCAGGTTCTTCCACTTGAGATTAGCTCGCGGGTACGGCAAGCTGCTCCAATTCAACTCGCTCTCGTCGGCAGCCCCGGTACCTATGATTGCCTTGACAAACGCCAGGTTGATGCTAGCTGCGCTGCCTCTCGTATCTCGCACATACTGCCATTTCTGCCGGCGCTGCATCTGTCATAGCATACAACCGAAACAGTCAGGCACCTGATACCATATGTTGATGTCACTCTCTCAAGCACAGCTACGGCGGGTATCAAGCAAAAGACTTCACAAAGAAAAATCAAGTCTTCAAATTCGGCCGCAACCACAATCGGTAGCTCACCCTAGACTATCGAGCTCGTGTTGAGTGGAGCTGCGAGTTTTTGTCAATTTTCGTTCTGTAGTCAGATTTGGTGAAAGCGACAGCAGCGGCAACAGCAGCGGAACAACACAGATTAAACCTTCGCGGCATCGGCACCAGTGGCATGAACAGGGTCGCAGATTTGATGATGCAGCAGAAAAGCTCTTGTGTGTAGTGGCACCCGATTGTGGTATCATGTTCAGGCTCAAACGACGTCCTCGTGGCACAAACATCGACAGCACACCCACTTGTGCTTCATCGAAACGTGCAGTGGGAACCACGGCCAGCATGACATCAATTCTTGTCTTGTCCTGGCCGAATCGTCTCCTTCCAGGAGTGCATGCACGCAAACAGTACATTACAATGCCACCCCCCATCTCTTCCTTTGGAAGTCCCTGGTGTATACTGCCACCTACAGTACTGTGCCAACACATCAAATGCTGTAGACTGTAGAGGCAATCACAGGAAAAGCCGGCGTGTAGGTTGTGAGTCGAGCCAAGCGTTGCTCTGCAGCACACTTGACATCTTGTGTTCGCAGACGCCGTCATGATCAGCCACGGCGTATGACAAATGTAGAACGTTTATTATCTTCCGTTGCGCACATAAACACACGGACATCAAGAAGCTTCGGATTCACACACAACGCATTTAGCTCGTGTTTTACAACGGCTACACAGCTGCTGCACCTGTAGGTAGTCCCACTTTTTCCGACAGGCAATGCGGTTTCTGGACTTGATGATCCTGGCCACTTCTGCCCACGGTACGTCGACTTCCTCATTGCCCGTCAGCATCACTTCCGACATGTCTGCCGTCGCGGTCCGGTTGGTGCCGTCGGCGTTAGTTGGTGAAAACAGTCAATGCATCGACCATCAGACGGCACAGGATATTTTTGTTACAGGCTCGTCATAGCCTAATGTTTCGTTTATTTTTCCCCGACGGCAGCGACAGGCGGCACGTTTTGTTATGTTGCCTTGATGTTTTGGTTTCCATTCGACTACTTTCCTCATGAACAGTTAGCTTGTTGTGCTCTTTCGTTGAAAGGACATGAGACATCATGGGTTGGAGTTCACGTTGGTGTAGTGATCTGGGTGCTCCAGTACCGTATATGACACAAAGAAAACACACCCCCTCGACCGATTTTCAAAGCTCGATTACGCCACGACGAAGAGGATGCATAAATGAAACGATACAATGTCGGAAAGCTCTCGACGAGACGGTTTCAACGCCGCCCTTTTCGGCACCCCCACTTTTCTGCTGTTGAGAAATAGAGCTTTGAAAATCGGTCCAGGGGGTGTGTTATCTTGTGTCGTACACGGTAGTACCTTATTCCTCGTAGGTCCAATGGTCTATCCAATGATCTACCAGTTATTTCTCTCCAAAATGCTCTTTGCCACTCTATTGCTCTGTTGAACTTGTGCAGAAATACAAGAAAAAACATACTTCGTACAATCTTGCGATCGAGACCGCCACGTTAAATAAACGCAAGTGGACTACACATGTCGGCCACCTGTTCAAAGCTTAGACAGGGGCCTTGCAAAAAAAAGACAACGCTCAACATCGTACAGTATAATGAACAACGACAGCAAACATGTTTCGGTGTGCTGTAGCTGTCCATCTCGCTAACCTTCACCGCACTCCATCCGGTCCATCATGAGCTTGTTTAGAAGCTTCTCCTCTTGCTCAGTCCAGGCTGATGACAGACACCGCCAATCAGCCAGAGAGGCACGGGGCACACCAGAAGACAACAATACAAGAGGTGAGTGTGAACAGCAAGCGTACGTCATGGTCTAGCCCACGGACGTCCGTCCATGCATACGACTAAAGGAGGACAACGTCGAGCAGATAATTCGGAAGAAAATAATCCTAACCGCTGGAGGATTCAGGGCATCGAAGGAAGCATTCACGTCATAATACAAAAAACCATACGGCCGCATTAGTACACCTATCTCCTAGTGTACACGATGGTACGGCCAATGCCCTCCCGTTTGGACGAACCACTAGGCAGCATTCGTGGCATTTCGCTATGTACAAGTATTGATTGGTGATTGGTGTACAATGCCGACGTGATGTCTTGAGGTCTGTCCAATACCCCCAGCACACAACAATTCGCATTTCACCCGCACGCTTGACATGTGTACACGACCGTTTCGGGCACCAGCTCGCGCAATGGTGCTATAGTAGTACTGTACCACAAACTATTGCTACTCGTCCCGGAAACATCACTGGTATCATACCACGTTGTCCGCTCTGTCTGATACTTACGGCCTTCTTGTGGCGTTGAAATTAGTTCTCGGCTCTTGTCCCTGCACGCGTCGGCGCTCCTGCCGACTTTCTTTCCGATCTCCGACCACTTCTTGCCGTGTGTGCTAACCTTCGCATCACCATCACCATCACCATCACCATCACCGACGATAACAGCGGGGGGGGGGGGTGCACCAGGTACGCCAACAAAGGGATCAACGTGAAGGCAATATCATCATCACGAACGTCGGGACTACTGCAACAGCAACAAAGGCGCCAAAAACAACTGGCCTAATCAACCGCATCGACCCACCGAAAATAACGACAACGGCAACCACCACCCCACAACAACATTTGCACTTCCTCCGACAAGAAAAACGCGGTTGGCCGCCACCCTCTTCCTTCAATACTTGAAGACCGACAGAATCCGGCACGGCTTGACATTTTTGTTGTTGTTGTTGTCTTATAAAAAACCGTTCCGGTCTCCGCTCAGTACCTTCTGATGTCCGTACACTACTGGTCCAACTGGCGCGGATGCCTTCCGTGGTCACAAGCCAACTACCCAAAGAGGGGTACAGTACCCCTTTCTAGAACGAAAATCATGACACGATTTACTCAATACGAAGCACTTTATGACTACAATGATTATGATTTCTCTTACCAAGAGCTTCAACTGAGCCACCTCTTCGTCAGTCCATGCCCCCATCTTCCTGCCGTGCAGTTGACGAATCCCGTGGCGGTAGATGGACTACGCTCGCAAAGAGCAAAGGGGCCACCAACCATCAATCCAGCAAGGTAAGACAAGATTAGTGTTGGGCTAGTCTAAGTGTGCCTGGAAATCAACACCACGAGAGCCAACAAGTATCGTTCGGGGTTTCATATGGACACATCGACATGCTCAGCGAACTGCATATCGCAGGCAAGCTGAAATTGAACAGACAGCGCTATATTCCGCACGACCTGCACCCCATCGTGCTTTAGATACAAGGCAAGGCAAGGCAAGGCAAGGCAAACAAAAAAGCAACAGAGACGGAGGCAGGTATAAGATCGGATTGTGTCCGGTTGCCGTTTCCTTCGTGGACGGTGTTGATGTCGTAGATGCAACAATGTCCTTTCGTGCCACCTTTAAGGTTTCTTCAAGATGAGCTAGCAGCACCAACGATGTGACAATACCCACCCACCGCAGCCGTACAATGGCGGCATTAGATGACAGCCATGACATACTCGTAGTAGGCATGAAGCAGCCTCACTAAGTACTTCAGCAGAACAAGTGCAGCACGAAGACGTCGGCAGCAACGGCAGGATAAGGTACTTGAAAATTGTGGAACGGCATACACGGACGTATGAAAAAGCAGCCAATGTACAGCTGTGGAGCCTGTTTTACCATGGTGTTCGAAGCCAGCGCGGCATGGTGTTGTGGCTCCGTTGCCCGTAAACAGGAAAAAGCACGTTCCGGAGCAAAAACTGCAGGCAGACGACAGGAGCACAGACACCAGCACCAAACAAGAGCAAGACCAACACCAGCACAGGTACCAGCACCTTTCGCCGCAGTAAACACGCGGCCGAAACCGAAACAACTACAAACGATTACCAACGGCAGCGTCAACACTACCAGGACTACGCCCACTACCACCAATAGCACAACGCCTTACACTGTACCTGGACTGAACGATCGGGCAAACAGTTCGCGATGGAAAGCCATGCCCTCTTCGAGCCTACTGAGCGACTCCCATCTTGGCACAGAGACTTGATTGGTGCCCGTGGTCGGACATGGAGGGATGGAGGGTGCGAGAAGACCAAGAGAGAACCACGCGCAAGAAACCAAGGACAACAGGAAATACTCAGCATGCGCAATAGTGTGGGACGGCACAAAAACCTCCGGTATATGGCACGGTATATGGCACGGTACAGGCATGGCGACAGACAATTTTGACGGCACTTGGAGCTAGTGTTGTTCTTGAACAACTTGGGGGGAAAATACATGACCCCTGCGCTCTTAAGAAAAAAGGGCGGTTGTAAGGTATTGCGACAACACGCACCACAGCCCGTAAGTCTATTGTCGCCTGCCGGAAGTCGGTGTGAGTCCAAACGGACCTCCACTCAGGTGGAAGTGTACGGTACGCCCGGTGAAAACACTGACCTTAACCTCTTCGTTCACCGTCCATACCCCCCCCCCCCCCCCCCCCAAAAAACCCATTAAAAGGGAAGGGGTTGGGGGAGGGAAAACTTTTGATCCCATCAACCACAAACTTGGAACCCGGGGTGGGGGATTTTCCTGAAAAAAAAACCCCGAAAAAAAAAAAAATTCCGAAAAAATCGGGGAAAACCCCAAAAAAGAAGGGGGGGGGGGTTATTTTAGGGACAAAAAACCCCCGTTTTAACCCGTTGTATGTTAGGGGGGTTAAAAAAAAAAAAAGGGATAACCCCCCCCCTGGCGGGGTTTCTGTAAAAAAACCTCCTCATTTTTCCAACTTGTCTT